GTGCTGACAACACCAAGCCAAGGGTTGAAATCCCCTTACCGGTCATCTTAAAAAAAAAAAAAAAGAGCCTTGGTTCCTTCTAGTGGCACATGGTATTAGAAGCCCAGATCCAGGTACCCACTAGCCGGGCTCACTGCTATTGGCATGTCACCACACCCAGGCCGGTGGACACACACACACACACACACACATTTATAACTATATGTATTTTTATGTCTAGCTAGGTATTTTGAAATCCATGAGTTAACACCGTTCCCTACAATTCCAGTTCAACACCACAGGCTCCTTTCTGGCTTTCTCCCTTCCCATATTTGTAAATCTCTTCTTCAACCGTCAGAAAGCTGGCTTCCATTATCCGTAATATATGAAGTTATCTGATCAATCCTTCTGTGTAAGCGACCTCCCATACCACTGTCTTTCATACACAGATCCCTCTTCACTCCATCTTGGTTCTAACGCCCCAGGCCAGGACACCCAAACACGTGGATGCCCTACTCGCTCTACGCAAGCTCTCAGGCCTCCCCCGGGCCTTCACCAGCATGGAGGCCTCTGTGCCCTGTTTAAGCCCCAGTGGCCCACACCAGGCTGCCCCTCCTTCCCCAGCTTCGTCTTCACACTTCAGGATGAACCACCCAAATGTGGGGACACCCTGCCCTCTCCACACAGGCTCTGACTCCCTACTCGGGGCCCTCCCCTGTGTGGACACCCTACTCACCTTGCTTGGGTTCCAATGCCCCACACAGGCCACCCCTCCACATAGATGCCTGTCTTGTTCTGTCCTACCTGATGGTTTTAGGACTGGAGAGAAGGGAAGGGGACAAAGATGAGGAAGAGGATCCAGGCTCTATGCTTTATTGTTCCAAAGCACTTACCATTTCTTTCTTTTTTTTTTTTTTTTTGGCAGCTGGCTGGTACTGGGATCCAAATCCATGACCTTGGTGTTCCACGGCTGTGCTCTAACCAAGTGAGCCAACTGGCCAGCCCCTTATCACTTTGATATCAGTCTGCTAGGGCTGCTGTAGCAAAATACCACAGACTGGGTGGCTTAAACAACAGAAATTCATTTTCTCTCAGTTCTGGAGGCTGGAAGTCCAAGATCAAGGTGCTAGAGAATTCAATTTCCAGTGAGGCCTCTCGTCCTGGCTCACAGATGGTCACCTTCTCCTTGTATTCTCACACGACCTGCTCTGTGTGCCCCACAGAGAGAGAAGCTCTCTGATGTCTCATCCTCCTCCTATAAGAACACCAGTCCTACTGAATTAGGGTCCCACCTTTATGACCTCACTTAACCTTAATTATCTCTTTGGGGCCCTACCTCCAAATACAGTCACATGGGGGTTAGGCTTTGCTATGGTCCAAATGTCTGTGTCTGCCCACAATTCATGTGTTGAAACCTAATCACCAATGTGATGGTAACAGGAGGTTGGGCCTTTGCAAAGTGATTCGGTCATAAGGGTGGAGCCTTCATGAATGGGATTAGTGCCCTTCTAAGAAAAGGGACCCCAGGGAGCTGCCCTTGCCCTTCTACATGTGAGGACATGGGGAGAAAGCACCATCTATGAACCAGAACTTGGGCCCTCACCAGACACCAAATCTCCTGGCACCTTGGTCTTGGACTTCCCAACCTCCAGAACTGTGAGAAATAAATTTCTGTTGTTTATACGCCTATAAGTTTATAAGTCTATGGTATTTTGTTATAGCAATGTTACAGCAGACTAAAGTTTCTTTTTTCTTTTTCCTTTTTGTCTTTTTTCATGACCAGCAGCGGATCGCAACCCTCAGTGTTGCGCCCGTACCGGACCGGGACCAGCAACGGGATCGCAACCCTCGGTGTTGCGTCCTCACCTCGCTCAGCCAGTGAGCGGCCGGTCTGTATGTGGGATCCGAACCCTCGGCGGGAGCGCTGCCGCGCTTCCCAAGCGGCGCACTGTAGCAGTGCGCCACCGGGCCAGCCTAAAGTTTCAACATATGAATTTGGGGGGACATAATTTGGTCCGTAACAGTGTTTGTTTGTGGGCCGAGCCCGTGGCACACTCGGAGAGTGCGGTGCTGGGAGCGCAGCAGCGCTCCTGCCGCAGGTTCGGATCCTATATAGGGATGACCGGTGCGCTCACAGTGCTCACTGGCTGAGCGCGGTGCGGGCGGTCTCAAAATGGAAAAAAAAAAAAAAAAAAAAAACAGTCTTTGTTTGTGTTTTTGATGGCTGGCCGGTATGGGGATCCAGATAACAGCTTTCTCACAGACCTTCCACATTGCTCTTCCACATTTATTGTTTACTCTTTACCAGAGCCCCCTCCCGCCCTCTGCACATCAGCTCCTCCCAGGCAGGGATCTCGCCCAAGTTCGTGGAAGGACAGCTGGAGGCCCTTGTACACGTGTCTGAGGAAGCCCGCTGGGGGAGCCTTGCTCCCCGCTTCCTCTATCCCCTCGGACCTGGAGCAGGGAAAGTCAGAACCGCTGGCACCAGGTACAAATGGTTTATTTCTCTATAAAGAGCACAGTACAAAGAGGTGGGGGGTAGGGCAGCTGGGCCCAGCGGAGCAGCAGCAGGCAAGTCCCAGGCCCTGGCTGTGCCAAGGAGGCCCCGGCAGCTGCCCTAGCAGTAAACCAGGGTGACCAGCATTAGGGTGGAGGGGAGCAGGGGGTGAGCGGAGGGCCAAGGCTGCTGCTGGAAGTCACACAAAGCCGGGCTTCATGGAGGAACGGCGGCAGTTGGGGCAGCTCCGGGTCCCGCTGTTCTGCAGGCACCTTAGATGGCAAAGGGCTCTGTCCACTCACCAAGGCCCGTCCTTCCATCCTGGGCCCTGGGCCCTCCCTCTCTCCCTTCCCTGCCCTCTGCAGGGGCTGGGAAGGAGTCCTCGGCCACTGTTTGGTGGTGGTGGTGGGGAAGGAATGGCTCCCCCCGGCTCCTGCTGCAGCCCCTCTCCCCCTCTGCCCCAGGGGGCTTCCATAGCAGAGCACAGGCTGGGACTCAAGTGGCAGGGATGGAGCCCAGCATCTGCCACAGCCCCAAGGCAGCTCTGGCCTTGGATGTCTGCTCTGATGACCTTCGAGAGGCCTCTTGAATGCTTTGGGGGTAAGGACAGGGCTGCTGGGTGGATTCGATGAGTTCCTACATGGAAAGCTCTTAGAACATGCAGGGGCCACAGAAAGCACTAGATAAGGGTTTGCTGCTAGTACTATTATTGTCAGACCGCTGGGGCCTGGAGTACCCCGTAGAGGCCACCTGCCCCTCGCCCACCCTGTGGGAGCCCTCACCTGAGGTGGAAGATGTGGGAGCAGGGCAGGGCCTGCAGCCGGCTGTTCCTCTCACCTATGGACTCGCCGCACAGGCCGCAGTAGAGCTCCGTCTCCTCCACGCACTCGTGGAAGCGCACAACGTGCGCCCGCAGCTCCCGCTGCAGCCCCTTGCTGCGGTAGATGCTCTCACTAAGGCAGTGCAGCTTCAGCTGGCTCAGCTGGGTCCGGTGGGGATGGGAGAGCAGGGTAGGGTGGAGACCAAAGTCAGCGCTGCTGAGGTCCGGTCTCAGAGCTTTCCTGCCTTGCTGATGGACCCAGGAAGAATGTCCCACCCTCTCTGGGCCTTGGTTTCCCTTCATGCAGAATGAGGGGGTGGGTGAGATCAGTGTCCTCACCCCTAGAGCTGCTTGGGGGCCTCATGTCTTTAAAGGATTTTATTCACCAACCTGTTGCATGGATTCCATAATAATTAATCTGCTTTCCTGTTTTTATTAACTAAACACACACACAACAGCTCATCCTCATTTCGGATCAGCCTGATACCAGGGTAAACCTGAGTGGCTACAATCCAGCCCAAACCAAATATATTTAGCTTTTTTTTTTTTTTTTTTGTCCTTTTTGAGACCGGCCGCACCGCGCTCAGCCAGTGAGCGCTGTGAGCGCACTGGTCATCCCTATATAGGATTCGAACCCGTGGCGGGAGTGCTACTGCGCTCCCAGCGCCACACCCTCCCGAGTGCGCCACGGGCTCGGCCCTATATTTAGCATTTTAATTGGACTATGCACCTGATTCCAGAGAAATGCTCATCTTCTAGAAGGCTTTGAGAAATGCTGAGCATGTTTTCAACATTTTAAGGTTTGGATATGATTATTACACTTGCTGAGGCCATGTAGACTATGGGAAGAACATGGCTTTGGAGTTAAGACAACCCAGTTAGCAGATGTGGGACCTGGACATCTCTCTGAGCCTCACTTTCCTCTTCTCTAAAATGGGCTCGCTGTACCCACTTTGCAGGGAGACGGTGAGAACTGGAACTCTCCAGCTCTCAGGGAGTGGAGGCTACTATTAGGAGTTTTAATCAACATCAAGAAACCTCTGAGGAATTCTGCTATCCTCCAAGTTATGGGATTCCTGCCCCACCCTCAGAAGTGCTCTCTGGGTAGAAGAGAAAGAGCAAGGGTCTGGGCACAGCTGAGGGCAGTCTCCAGAGGATCAGGAAGGGCTCAGGGTGTGAGCAGGTTCAGGGGACCCTCCCCCCAAACTCAGTGCCTCCCCTTGGGCTCTTGACCCCACGCCCAGCAGACAGAATCAGGTCTGACCTTGTTCCCCACCTCCTCGGCCAGGTCCTGGGCTCTCTCAATGGCATCCAGAGCCTAGAATGTGAGCACAGACCAGGGCTGCGGACAGAGCAGTCTGACAGAGGCTTTGGCTCATAGCAAAGGAAAGGGTAGGGAGGGTGGGCCCAGGGAGGACAATGAATGTGGCTGGGGCAGTGGCCCTGTGAGTGAGGGCATCATACAGAGACAGGGGCGCAGTCACAAGAGCTGTTTGGGCAAGTTACCTTCTGCCTCGGATTACTCAGATACAGAATGGGAAGAATATTCCTGTCTCACAGGGTGTTCTGAGATCATGGGAGGCAGTTAGAATGCTCTGGGCTCAAACCCCAGCTCTAGCCCTTTACAAGCTGTGGGTCCCTGGGCAAGTCATGGGCCTTCTCCGAGTTGGGAAAATGATTGGGAATGACCTGGCCTCACGGGGTCAAGGTGAGGCTGTTAGACAATGTGGCTGAAAGGCCTTGCCCAGCACCAGACCCACAGACTGTCAGCTGACTTACTGGCCCCAAGTGGGGAGCACTGCGGAGAGCTGGGGGCCATGGGAAAGGGCTGACCTCACCTTGTCCAGTGCCTTCCTGGCCACCCAGCATTTGGCCACACCCAATAGCACCTGCACCTGCCCCAGGCGGTTTCCAATCTCAGTCATGATGCTCATGGCAGAGTCGTACCTGGGGAAGGCTGTCTGCAGAGCCAGGTGGGGGTTGGAGTCAGGCTGGGCCAAGCCTGAGCCCTCCTCCCCCACCCCCCACATCCTGGTGACCTCACCTCCAGGTCCCCACGGCTCCGGTGGATGTCAGCAAAGCAGAGTAGGCAAAGCGCCTGCAGAGGCCGGTCCCCATGCTGGAGTGCAATCTTCATGGACTCCTGCAAGGGAGGCTGGTCACTTGGGCCTGTTCATCTGCCCCCAGCACACCTCTCTGAAGGGACAGCCCAGGGATTACCAGCATCCTGGTAGCCTAATACACCTATCATGGTGCTGAGGCCTCACGCACAGAGCCATCAAGGTCAAAGACCCAGCAAGGAGGCTACTATCATTTCACAGGTGGAAACTGAGAGTCAGAGAGAAGTGACTTGATCAAGGTCACCCAGCTAGTAAGTGGCAAAGCTGGTATCTGGACCCAGGTCAGTGGAGCTCCAGAGACAGCCCTCTTCCTACTCCACTCTTCAAAGTACCCCACAGGGCTGGCCGGTTAGCCCACTTGGTTACAGTGCAGTGTTATAACACCAAAGTCAAGGGTTCGGATCCCCATAGTGGCCAGCCACCCCCAAAAAAAGTATCTCACAGAGTGTGTTGAGGACAGAGGGAAGCCCCCTCCCCTGAGGATGGTATGGAAAGGGGTGAGGTTTGGGATGGGGTTGGGGAAACACGTGCATCCTTCAGGAGCTCAGCTGTAGAGAAGCTGGGCCAGGGGCAAGCCTGGGGGCCTCGAAGGAAGAGGCCCTGAGTCTTGGGCCCCTGACCCTGCCCCCCCCCACCCGCCCCATCCCTGCTGCCCACCTCACAACACTCCATGGCACTGCCTAGGTGGCCCAGCAGGCGATAAGCCACAGCCATGTGGTACTGGCTCATGGCCCGGTACTTGAGGCTCCAGCCCTTGCCATAGTCGTTGACCAGCTCTGCGGCCTTGCAGGGAAAGAACAGGGCTTTCTCGTAGTCCTGCAGGGCACATGGGATGGGAGGGAGCACTCTGAGTGATAGGAGCTGCCCCAAATCAAGGGCTCTGGGGGGCCCAGTGTTCATTCACTCATTCTGGGATCCAGGGAAAGAATGATCCAGGCAGAGGGAACAGCCAGCACAAAGGTGTGGGATTTTCTCCAGTTTGCTGTATCCCAAGAACCTAGCAGAGTTTTTGGTACTTAGTAGATGCACAATAAATATTTTATTGAATGAATGAATAAAAAGGCAAGAAAATACAATTGGTTTCACTTCCAGCCCAGTCCCAAACAGGATCCTTAGGTTCAGAGACACACAGAAAGAGGGGATATCAGATCCCCCCAGACCAGACGTTGCCTCCCACACCCAGCAGCAGATGTTCGCTGAAGGCTCAGTGACAGACTGCCAGCAGAACGGGTGCAAAGGAATATCGGGACAGACTCAGGGAGGCAAGGAAATCATTCTCTCATGCTTTGTCCTCAAACCTCCAAGTGCCTTTTCAACTTGCCCACGATCCGCTTCCTCCCATCAGACGCAGTGGAAAAACAGAAGATCAGAAAGGAGCTCCTTTCTCTGTCCTCCTCTGCCATGTCTCCCACCTTCCCAGCTCTGTGCCCACTCTCTCGGCTTCCCCTCCTGTCATTGTGGAGGAGGGCTCCCTGCTCCTATCAAATGCCAGCTCCTCCATGAGCCAGCCACCCCCAACCTCCTGGTCTCGGCACCAGCCAGTGCTCTCTTTCTACTGAATCATTCCCACTGGTGTGCTAACACGTTCCGGCATTTCTCACCCCATTTAAAAAATAAAAACAAAAATCAAAATCAAACAATCCTCTTGATCTCATTTCCCCGTCAGCTACAGCCCCATTTCTCTGATCTTTTTCATAGTAAACCCATCTGAGGTCTGGCCGGTTAGCTCACTTGGAAGAGCATGATGCTGATAACGCCAAGGTCAGGGGTTCAAATCCCTGTACAGGTCAGCCACCGAAAAAATAAAATAAAATTCCCATACCATCCAGCTGCCAAAAAACCCAAAAACACGATACAAAAAACCTATTTGACCTTTTACTTAATATCTAACAAGCAGTTCTGAGTTAATATGACCCAAAGAGAACTCTCAATAACCCCAATAAAAACCTCTTCCTAATATATCTTATTATGTACATTTTAACTTGAAGCCATATAAATGTTTTACAGATTCAATAAAATTAAACTTAGGGCCGGCCTGTGGCTCACTCAGGAGAGTGTGGTGCTGATAACACCAAGGCCACGGGTTTGGATCCCACATAGGGATGGCCGGTTCGCTCACTGGGTGAGCGTGGTGCTGACAACACCAAGTCAAGGGTTAAGATCCCCTTACCGGTCATCTTAAAAAATAATAATAATAAATAAATAAAAATAATAATAATAATGAAAAAATAGAAAAATAAAGCCGGCCCCGTGGCTCATTTGGGAGAGTGTGGTGCTGATAACACCAAGGCCACGGGTTCGGATCCTATAGAGGGATGGCCCGTTTGCTCACTGGCTGAGCGTGGTGCTGACAACATCGGGCCAAGGGTTAAGATCCCCTTACCGGTCATCTGTGAAAAAAAAAAAAAAAAAATAGCACCTACAAATAGAAAATGGAAATAAATGACCCTAACTGTATACCATATTGATATAACTACACAGAAAAAACAACCATTTTGAATGTTTTACACTTGGACAGTGTACCCATAGTAGTACATATTGTTTTGTTTTCAGTGGCTGGCTGGTACAGGGATCCGAGCCTTTGACTTTGGTGTTATCAGCACCACTCTCTCCCAAGTGAGCCAATGGCCTGTCCACTATAGTGGGGTATATTATAAAGACAAAAGAATGGCAAAGAAATCTTAAACTTCATTCAGTTGTTTTTTTTAACAGTTTATTTTTTAGAGTAACATTGGTATTGTCTTTTAAAACTATTTCATGTATTTTGTGGGATAAGGTAAGTATTTAATTATGTTTTTAGATTTTTCTGTTTTTTTCTTTTGACAGCTGGCCAGTGAGGGTATCCGAACACTTGACCTTGGTGTTACGAGGAAGTGCTCCAGCCAACTGAGCTAACCGGCCAGCCTTAATTATGTTGTTAGAAACATGGGGCCGGCCCGTGGCTCACTTGGGAGAGTGTGGTGCTGATAACACCAAGGCCCTGGGTTCGGATCCCACATAGGGATGGCCGGTTCTCTCACTGGCTGAGCATGGTGCTGACAACACCAAGTCAAGGGTTAAGATCCCCTTACCGGTCATCTTTAAAAAAAAAAAAAAAGAAACATGGGGCCGGCCCGTGGCTCACTTGGGAGAGTGCAGTGCTGATAACACCATGGCCATGGGTTCGGATCCCTATATAGGGATGGCTGGTTCGCTCACTGGCTGAGTGTGGTGCTGACAACACCAAGTCAAGAGTTAAGATCCCCTTACTGGTCATTTTTTTTTTTTTTAAAGAAAGAAACAAAGATTATCTGCCTAAGAGAAAAGAGAATCAAGTTTAAAATAAATTAAGAGGAACTCCTGAAACATCAGATTAAATTGGAAATAGCAATATACAGTAAACTTCAGTTGTTCTAGCCACCTAAAAGGTTTAGAAGCATAGACAACCCAGTAGCAATGAGCACCACATTTGGTTTTTAAATACCATTTAGAAACTGGAGAAATGAACTTATTCCAGGTCTGGGGCAGAGGATGTTCAAAATGAGCCTGGGACAGTTTATTGTGCCAGAAAACAAGAAAGCTTTCAAAGACTAAATAAAGTCTTGTCAAAAGGACACAGGAGCCGTATTGAAGGGATTCCATTGGCTAGAAGTTAAGATAATATGAACATCAAAAAGAATGATTATGTGGGCCGGCCCGGTGGCGCACTCGGTAGAGTGTGGTGCTTGGGGGCGTGGCGGCGCTCCCGCTGAGGGTTCGGATCCCATATAGAGACCGGTCCACTCACTGGTTGAATGCGGTACGGGTGCGACACCGAGGGTTGCAATCCCGTTATCGGTCACGAAAAAAGACAAAAAGGAAAAAAAAAAAAAAGAATGATTATGTGATAACACCAAGGACAAAGATTCAGATCCCTGTACCTGCCGGCCACCTCCCCACAAAAGAAAAGAATTATGATTGACCAAAGAACACTGAATATGAAAAATCCATGATTTCATAATGATTCCAAAAGAGTGTGACCTTTGAAGGCAGCTTTACAACCAACTCCTTTATTAGAAAAGAGGTAATTAAAGGAAAGAAAAAAAGTATTTATTCCGGCCTTCCTTTAGGAACTGTATTTCAGAATAACTAACTAGGGCTGGCCAGTTAGCCCAGTTGGTTAGAGCGCAGTGTTATAACACCGAGGTCAAAGGTTTGGATCCCCTTACCGGCCAGCCACCAAACAAACAAACAAAAAAAAGAATGACAAACTAGACTTAAGAGATGAGGGAAAGTTCTTCTGTAAAAATCCTAGCCAGAGTTAGAGCACAGTGTTATGACACCAAGGTCAAGGGTTCAGATTCTCATGCCAGCCACAAAAAATTTTTTTAAAAAAGAGAAAAATCCGGGGCAGGCCCGGTGGCGCACTGCTACAGTGCGCTGCTTGGGAGTGCAGAAGCGCTCCCACCAAGGGTTCGGATCCCACGTATGGACCGGTTCCCGCTCACTGGCTGAGCTAGGGGCGGGCGCAGCACCGAGGGTTGCGATCCCGTTGCCGGTCCCGGTCCGGTACGGGCGCGACACTGAGGGTTGCGGTCTGTTGCCGGACACGAAAAAAAGACAAAAGACAAAAAAAAAAAGAGAAAAATCCTAGCTAATAAATGTAGGAGAAATGACAGAACTTGGAAATCATCATTTCATTAGAGTTGAAATGAAATAATTGATTCAGGCAACAAACACTGGTGGGTGCTAAGACCGCTAGAGAAAATGTGGTTGCAAAACTGAATACTCACAGGATGCCAAAGTGTCATCCCACACGTTAACCTCTGGTCATGAGAGGAAAAGTGCAAGCCCCAAAATGGAAGGATTAGGTGTGGGTGCTAAGACCGCTAGAGAAAATGTGGTTGCAAAACTGAATACTCACAGGATGCCAAACTGTCATCCCACACGTTAACCTCTGGTCATGAGAGGAAAAGTGCAAGCCCCAAAATGGAAGGATTAGGCTGTCACTTCCTGAACCATGTTGATGTGACATATGTAGCATCCTGATGTAGCATCCCGATGAAGCACGTAGCATTGTCTATACAGTCCTCTTAGCAAAAATGTGTGACCTAAATTTCAGCAACTCACTACCTAATTTCAAATGGAAGGATTAGGCTGTCACTTCCTGAACCATGTTGATGTGACATATGTAGCATCCTGATGTAGCATCCCGATGAAGCACGTAGCATTGTCTATACAGTCCTCTTAGCAAAAATGTGTGACCTAAATTTCAGCAACTCACTACCTAATTTCCAGTTCGTAGGGATCAAAGAGATGAAGGAAGAAGTTACATGACTCCTTGAGGAAACAATGAGAGAATGAGATGGGACACTCTGCAAGGCAAGTGATCTAAGTGATCTGGTTTCTTCAATAAATCATGGAAAATAAGAGGGACGGTAGGATTTTTTTTTTTTTTTGGTGGCTTGCTGGTATGGGGAACGGAACCCTTGACCTTGCTGTTACAAGGCTGCACTCTAAGCAATCTTCTATTGGGAAAGACTTGAGACATAATAACCACTGCAATGTGCGGCTCCTGCTTGTGTCCCAGTTCAAACAAGCTAAGGGTAAATTCATACTTTTAGGGTAAGTAGAGAAATTTAAATATGGACTGGGTATTAGATGCTATTCGGAGATTACTAGGGTTTTCCGTTTGTTTTATTTTGTTTTGTGTTTGGCAACTGGCTGGTATAGGGATCGAACCCTGGATCTTGGTGTTATCAGCATCACTCCCTAACCTACCATCAGAGATTATTGCTAATTTTGGTGCATGTGATAATGGTATTGTGATTAAGTAAGAAAGTGTCCTTGTATGAGAAAATGCCCTTTTTAAATATTAGAGATGCATACTGAACTACTTAAGGGGAAAATATCATGATGCCTATAATGTTCTATCATAACACTTCAGTTGAAATTAGCAAATCAAATATTTCAAAAATAATAATTGTTCAGTCGAAGTAGTGAGTATATAGGGTTTCATTATACTATTCTCTCTACTTTCTTGTACAATTAATTTTCTGCATAATAAAAAAGGTTTTGAAAAACCCCTCCCCTCCTGAATCCTATCTCATCTCTGTGAATGGCTCCCCCTTCCATCTAGTTCCTGAAAACAGAATCCCAGCCGTCATCCCCCGGGCCTCTCCTTCCATCCCATCCCACCTCGGATCCATCAGCGTTCACACACTCACTTACCCCAAGGTTTATTAAGCATCTACCATGTGCCAGCCATTAAAATCCCCATGGGCCAAGCACATCCGGATGCCCAAGGGGAAGGGGAGCAAATCCCGGGATGGGCCTGCAGTCACTGGCCTTATCAACAGCTCAGCCACCATCTGCACCTGCGGCAGCCACTGCGGGAGCTGCTGGGAGTGCTCCCCCAGGGCGGATCCTGCATGGCTCATCCTCTCCCCTCCTTCAAGTCATCAAGTCTCACCTCCGCAAGGCCTTCCGACCCCCTTTTGATACTGTGACAGCCTGGCACGCCCACCCCCTTGCCCCGCTTCACCTTCTCCTCAGCACTTTTTCACGCGCTACGTAACTGACTTCCTCCTGATCGTGTTGACTGTGCTTCGCTGGCGTTTTCACTGCTGCACCCTAGGCCAACAACGCCTGCGAAATAGTAGATGCACAATGAACACTTGATGACTGAATCCTTACAATCCTGCTGTAAGGTGGGTCCTATTCGCCCTCACTTTATAGATATACCTCCCAAGATTCAGAGAGGAGAGGTGACTTGCCCAAGATCACACAGCAAATGTATGGCAGTGCATCCCCACGCCCTGTCCTCACCCAGGGTGTCCCATTCCCCCAGGAAGTCAGACCCATCGAGGTTTGAATCCTGGTTCTGCAGTTCCTGTCTGTGTCGTTTCCCTTTCTGACTCTCACTCACCTTGTCCCCATCTGAAAGGAGAGCAGAACCAGGTAGTGCAACATGAGAGGCTGTCAAGGAGTCCCGAGGCCCCCATCACCCTCCCCCCAGGGCCCAGGCCCACCTTGACCTGGGCGTAGAAGCTGCCGAGGCTGCAGCAGACACGGCACTCAAGCATGGTGTCGTCGTTGTTGTGGGCATAGCGCAGGGCCTTCTCGAAACTCTCCAGGGCCTTCTGGAAGACGCTGAGGCCCAGAAAGGCATTGCCCATGCTCAGGCTGACCTGGCCTCCAAGCTGGGCACCAGCCCTGGTGCCAGGCAGGCCAAGGCAGGTCTTGCAGTAGGAGATGGTCTTGTGAAACTCGCAGAGCTTCTCGTTGCTACGTGCCAGGTTCAGGTAGCTCTCCAGGAGGAAGTCGGCATCCTCCAGCTCCCGGGCGGTGTCAATCTGAACCACGGCAAACTGCCCAGCAGGGTGGTGGGCAGGTAGCTCTCAGGCTGGACTCTGAGCCTTGGACCCCGACCTTCACCTTCCAGGCTCAGCTCTAGAGCCACACCCACACCTCCCAGCCTCGTACCCAAGCAGCAGACCCCAAAGCCTCAGACCTGGAGTTTCCACCCCCAGCCTCAGATACATTCTCTATACTCCACAGACTAGAAGCTTCAGTCCTGGAGGCTTCCCCTCCCAAACTCAGACTCACAGCCATCACTCCTCCGTCCCAGCCTCAGATTTAGAGTCCCCACATGTCCTGCCCCTGCCTCAAATCCGGAGCCCACACCCCCCCAGGCTCAGACACAGAACCCCAAACAGGCAGGCTGAGACCCAGATGCTTGAGGTGCCTGAACCCTGGACCCTGAAGCCTTAGAACGTTAATCTCAGAGGCTCAGACACTAAAGTTCAAGGCCACAGGTCTAAATCTGAAGCCAAGACTGAGCATCTAAGACCCAGAGCCTCAGATGCAGATTCAGAGCCTCAGGCCCTGAGGTCTGTGGACACAAGGAAGCCTGAAGAGGCTGGGAAGGAGCCGGAGAGCCTAGGAGAAATCCAGCCCCAGCCCCAACTCTCCCCCCACCCCCACGCCCGCGCCCCCTGGCTGGATACTCCCACCTTCAGCATCTCTTTGTAGCGGCCCATCTCCGAGTGGGCTGTGACCAGGCAGCCCAGCACGCGAAAGCGCCCCACGAGGTCTGAGCTCTTCTCCAGCACCTTCATCCACACCTGCAGAGCCTTCTCTGTCTGGTTAGACTGGTACAGCTGGAGCCCCTTCTCGATCTGCTGCTTTGTCTGGTCCTGCCCCATCCTCCAGAGTCCTGTGCCCCACGTGGAGAGACCCTGGTGGCTCTGTGCCTCTAGTCACTCATGGCTTGGGACCCACCGTACCGGCTACCCACTAAGCCCCAGGAGGAAAGCAGGTCGGGTTGGAACCGGAGTGGGGCCTGGATGGAGGGCGGGTGCCACCCTGGGAACAAAGCTGCTTCGGCCCCTGTCTGCAGCTGTCCCTGCCAGTTGGGGCCACGTGGCCTCTGAGGAATGTCAGCACAAGGTCACGAGGGCCTCTGCCGCACCCACCGCTAGCTTGGAGGTGGCTTTCCCAGGGACACAGTCACTCTGCCACCTGGGCACCCCCTTGAGCGTGCCTTCAGCACCTCTGACACTGACCCTGATTGCCCTGGCCAGGTAGGCCCTCCCTGCAGCCTTGCCAAGGAGCTGGGGCTGACAACTGGGAGGGAGAGAGGATGAAGCTGGACACACAGGCATCAGGGAGGCTGGGGCCCAGCCTGCTTCTCCCCCATCACACCCACCACCGCAAGCTCCCCTGGCTTTGTTCCTGTGATTCACCAGGCACCACGGTCACTTACCCGTGGACATGCCCGCACCATTTGCAACATTTCATCCTGGAGTGACCTGGAATGGACCCCGAGCTGGTGCCAGAGGCCTGGGCTCTAGCCTGGCCTTCTAGCTCACCGTGTGACCCTAGCCAAGTCATTTACCTCTCTGGGCCTGTGTCATCTATAAAATGAGAATAATAATAGGATAATAAACCTTAGTGCACAGGGCTGTCACAAGGCAGCAGCGTAGAGGCTCACATGCAGCACAGCATGGTGGTTAGCAGCGTGGGCCCTGGAGCCAGGCTGGCAGGGTTCGGATCCTGGCTCTGCTGTCTATGTATGAGCTGTGTGGGCAGTGTGAATGTGGGTGAGTTTCCTGGCCCCCGGAATAAAGAGAGAAACAGTACCTAGCTTGCTGGATTGTCATAGCTAAACGACTTACTAGTTGACAAGGACTTAGAACAGTGAGTACCTGGTCCATAAGGAACACTGTGTATGTTGATAAGCAAGAGGTTGTCTTGCTCCATGGCAAACTGCCCATCAGGGCCAAAGCTTGGCCCTTGAAGGCTTAAAAAGTGTCCCATGTCTAATCCCAACCCCAGTTTCAAAGAGTCCCTAATAATGGGCTTTACTTTTTGTGGCTGGCCAGTATAAGGTAGTAACAGGCTTTAATCCCAGACAGTGTGGAGAAGGGCAAGGCCTTATGCAGGGAGCAGAGTACTGAGGTTCTTGGGGTTAAAAGAGAGGCCCTAGGGCCGGCCCGGTGGTGCACTGCTACAGTGCGCCGCTTGGGAAGTGTGGCAGCGCTCCCGCCGAGGGTTCGGATCCCACATGCAGACCGGCCGCTCACTGGCTGAGCGAGATGCGGGAGCAACACCAAGGGATGCAGTCCCGTTGCCGGTCCCGGTCCGGTAAGGGCGCGACACTGAGGGTTGCGATCCGTTGCCGGTCATGAAAAAAGACAAAAAAAAAGGAAAAAAAAAAAAAAAAAGAAATTGCTGGGTCATATA